ATGCTTTGATAATGACGTTTTAAAAAGTAACAATTATGATGAGTTCTTTTTTTTTACATTGTTTTTTTTTTCTATATTGACTATTTCATTAAAATTTAGAAATGATATATTTTAACATTCTGTTGATAAAAAAGAACAACGTTAACACTCCACCTACCAATGGTTCCTGATTTTTTCCCCAAGAAAAGTCGGTAACCGTCAGTTTCATTCGAGATGGAAAACGAAGAATATCGCATTTCAAATGACTGGTTCATTGTAGATTCAAATCTGATATACAGAGAGTTGCTGTATTTTGTGGTGATTCTATGTATAGCATCGTTTCCTAAATTAAAGAATAAAGTAAAGTAATTATTATAATAATAATTAACAATATTCCTTATTTTCTTTGCCATTGAAACATAGGTCGACAAGAAATTCTTAGTTTACATTGAAGTTGGTGTTGTGTTTTTCATATTCTATCGTTCTATATCTTGCAATTCAGATATATGACTAGAGTCGGTATCCATCATTCATTAATTGCTCTTAAAGAAGGCCCATTCCTGGTCAGCATAATATTATGTGAGATTTATGATTTTTATACGTGGAAAGAATAGTCTTTAACTTTTTAGAGTTTTCAGATGGATTCAGAAACCGAAAAATTAAATTAAAATTTTAATATTACAGTTTCATGTAAAACTGGGCGATTGAACTTTGTATGGACATCAAAAATTATTATTGATATGATAAGCAAGATATCTGAAAATTCCAGATTCATAATGAAAGACAATGTTAACATTCTAACTTTCAATCATCACTGCGTTTTATAGAATTCTGAAAAAGTAGACTTTTATAATAATCTGATTTGTGTGGAATTTTCTGTCAATTAATCAAGAAAACATGAAAAATTATTAAAATCACATGATTGTACGAGGTTGGATTCAAAGTTTTGGCATAGTCTAGAAGCATTGACATCCTTTGACACTTTTTTTGTCATAGGACTTGCTGTCAATTTTTCAACAAAACATTGATGAATGGTTCATGTTTCTCCTTCATTTAAAATGTTACTGTGTTGCAGAGTTTATATGAAGCATTCAAATTTCGCTCATTTTTGCTATCGAATTCGCAATTTTACCACTATTCATTATTACCACAAAGGAAAACAGACAATTTTTTTAGAATCACCCATTCGTTACACAAATGGTATGGTCGTACATTTTCATACCAGTTAAAACACGTGCTCTGAAAAGCAGAAGAAATTCTAGTCGGAAAACTGAACTGCTTATCAATTTTTTAGGCAAATTTGCAGTGATTTTGTCAGTTTTCTTTATCAAATTACATTATCACAAAAAGAGAAACTTCAGAATATTTAGATACTTCAAGGGGTGTATTTAAGATTTTTTAAAAACGATTTATTACATCAATTAAATGATTTCGGTGGGTGATATGTTTGACCTACAATGGTAACATAATTCTACAGTGCCAACATAATTACCTGTCACGTAATTACAGTTTACAATTATTTTAAGATATAGTTCTAGAGAAATAGTTGAAAACGATTCTGATAATACAAACTTCTTTTCAGAGCTCGAGAAGAAGTCTAAAAAAAGTTTTAATTAAAGTAAATGAATCTGAATAATGCTTAGCAACTTAAACTTAAAAGCTAGCCACTACGTCATTTTATGACTGATTAAATACAGAATAATTATAGAAATAGTTTTTTAGTCTAAAACTATGATAGATTACCGTCCAACCTCCTCCAGCTTGATCCATATCACAGACAACTTCAACTGGATTAGGTTTTGTAAGGGGGTATATATCATAAACACCTGTCTTCTTAAGTCCACATCTATCGTAGATTTCAAAACAATCCAAAGGAAAAATGCAACCTGTAATGTATTTTGTTATAATATATATGGCTATATAATAAAAAATATGTAGTCTGCGCTCTCTGCATTTACATTTTCTACAAGAATCTTAACAGTGTTTGTATGCAGTTAAAATGAAATGTCGATTGGTTACCCATTTATCATGAAATATTTAGTACGAAAAAAATTAAAAACTGCATGATCTATCGCCGTTGAGTAACTGAAAAAGCAACGGCCTCTGAAAGTTCCTTCCTCGATTGCAACAATAAGGATTTTGTCTAGATACCCAGTACCTGACGGTCTTTTTCTTATATGACTTGCATTTTTTATAATTAATTATTAAGGTAATAAAAATGTCTCTTAAAGTCGAGCAATCTGTTAAAATAGCTGCTGTAACTTTTTTTTAGGACATCTTATATTAGTAATGTGCAAATGTGAAGGAAAAATAATGAAAGGATTATTCACAGATAACAATATTGCTTCTTCTAAATAATGTGTTTAAAAAGTCTTGTAGGTATAAAACTGACTTTCCATCAGGGACTTTATCCAAACGGTGAACAAAATTATGAAATGACAATGTTATTTTCAATTAATATGTAGGTCTACCTTGTACACGTGAGAATGAGAATAAAACCTCTTTTCCTACCTAAGTGAAATATACGAGAAATGTTCAGTAACTGTGTGTTTGCGACATTTTGCTCCTCATAAATATAATTTAAAGCTTTATTAACGAAGAGGGAAAAATTCCCGACTTCGTCTTCAATATTTTTTAGACGTACTTCGATGTAAGTGGATCTTAGCTCCTTTTCTACTTGATTTAACTTGCATTCCATCCTTTCCTTCTCTTGTGACAAAGAATCATATTGTTGTTTAAGCATAATGGTTTCATTCCTTAGACTGGCTACTTCTATTTTCTTTAAGAATTTCAGTTGTTCTTTAATCTTTGAGTTTTCCGAACTAAGTTCATCATTTCCCTTCTGCAGATATGAGATTGAGATTGAGATTGTATGTTGTTTAACGTCCCTCTCGAGAATTTTTCACTCATATGGAGACGTCACCGTATGCCGGTGAAGGGCTTCAAATTTTGACCTTTACTCGGCACTCAGGGCCATTGAGCAGTGAGGGATCTTTATCGTGCCAACGCCTGCCGCTGACACGGGGCCTCGGTTTTTAGGGTCTCATCCGAAGGACACGCAACTTTCAATTCAAAGTGCCGAGCGCATGGCGAAGGAACAGTTGCTACCAATTTTAACGACTAGGTCAGTCGCGGCCGAGATACGAACTCTCGACCTCCCGATCACGGAGCGAGCTCTGCAGAAATGAAAATTGTCTCATAAGATAATATATCTCCGATTCATTTAGGCTTTGAATGTTTGCAAGAGTCAAATTCTGATTGTCTTTGATTCTGCTATAAATTGTCTTTATTTCTTGTTGAAGCCGCACGTTATCTTGTTCAAGTTCCTGGTCCTTTGTTTCTAATGTATTGAATTGTTTTGCTATACGAACAAGATCCTTCTTCAATATTTCAGCGTTGTTTTTATTGTCTATGGAATCCATGACCAAATTTTGAATTTTTTGCACCATAGAAAATCTAACCAAAGATTCTTGATTAAGAATATCCCGTAATATGCTCGATTCCTTTTCGGCTGTAGCACTGCGAAACAATGTCCTTTTCACTGAGGGATTTCCTTCGGCTAAGGAAAGGTATGCAAAAATCTCATAGATAAAGAAGAATAAAAGTATAATAAAGTGCGATCTTCCCATTCTCATAGAAAAAAAGCTACTTCTCTAGCGTAAGCCTAATCTAAATTTGTTGTTTAGAAAAGGGAGTTTATATCATGGAAGGGGTGGGATCTTTATATAATCAAAGTACTAAAAGTACCGAAAAGCGGTTAGCATGCTTTCATCGAATATGTACAGTGTACAATAACAAAAAATGCATTGAATGATGATATTAAAGTAAGCATACATATCAATATCGAATGTCATCAGCAAAGAAGCAGACACACTGAATTTTGTAGTACTTAACTAAATTGTAAAACCAATAACATCCCAGACTGATGAAACAAATGTATCTTTCAAAATATTAACCTGAGATTTTCAGTTTGAAAGACAGGAAGTTCAATTTCAAAGTTGGCGTCTAGGAAGTAGAAGAAAAAAAAAGAATAACTAGAGCCGAGCTCGTTGCAAAGCAACGAGTAGGTCTTCCGTAGAAGCTACGGACAGAGAGAAATGACCTTGAGTCAAGGTCATGCCACGTTCTAATGATAAAGCAATCTTTTAAGGGTAGATATCATCTTATAATGTTTTACTATTAAAAAAATTGATAGTAAAGGAATGTTTGCGACCTTGACCTTGTCTAATGACCTTGGGTCACACCATGACACAAGATGGTGATGGTGATGAGCTTACCCCATTTGTGTGCTACTGTACAAATTCACACAGTTTTTTTTTCAAACAATGCATCCAGAATATCTTATCCTAAATGACCTTGATTCAAGGCCATAACACACTCTCCATGATTTAAGCCATACCTTTTTTTTTTGATAGGCCTTGTCACAGCTAATATACATGTGTAAAAAGTTATGGTCAATTTTAAGCAATGTTTAAATTTTGGAAAAGCCGGATAAACTTCAAGGTCAAAGTTCATGATATACTAGTATTTGATATGATTTTATCACAGATTACGTACATGACATTGTGATGTTTGTGTAATATGAAAGCCCTATCTCTCCTCATTAAAAAGTTATGATCAAGCCTCAAGATCAAGTTGTCAAAAGTCAGTGTATTAAGAAAAGAGTTGTCATAGGTAATTCATAGGGATAAAATAAAAGCCCCATCTCTTCTCAGTCAAAAGGTATGAGTATTGTTAATGTTTTTGAAAAGCAGGTCAAACTTCAATGTTAAAGGGTAAAAAAGCAGTGAATTTAAAAGGTGTTGTCACAGTTAATACATTTTTATAAAAATGGAAGCTTTCAAAAGTTATGGTCAATTTAAAGTAATGTTATTTTTTTTTAAGTAGGTCAAGCTCCAAGATCAAGGTCACAGGGTCAAAAATCACAGTATATTTGAAAATCAGATGTCACAAATAATGCACATGTGAAATATCAAAGTCCTATTTCAATTCATTTATTATCAAGTTTAAAGTTCTGGTGACAGATGGACAGACTGGCTGACGAATAAGGTTTAATGTTCCCTAAAAGATAAATACATGTAATTTGAACATGATAGATTGAGAAGTACGAATAATAAAAAAAAAATTAGAATATATTAGAATATAAATCAGGTTTCCTACATGAGATTTCCTTAAAGACTTATTAATACATACTATTCAAGAACATGCAATACATGTTCTTGGAGGTTCAAGACGTGGAGACCGGTCATTTCGATGAGATATCTCGTTACGGGGTTGGTAGTGCCATAAAAGGATTTAATTCGCCTGATTCCACCTCTGATTTTTTTAAAAGTCTGTCTTTGCGCTGCTAGTGATTTATATTGTTTAATATTAACCTATCAATTTGAGTTTAAATAGTGAAAAGAATTTGTCACTAAGAATTTATCTAAGGAATTAGTGTCAATCCTCTACATCAAAGAGCGTCTGACTTGTATGTATGATGTAAATTGCGTAAATGTGTTAATTGAAATTTTAGTGAATCCCGAATGTTGTGTGAGAGAGTTTTTAGATCCGCCGTGGACTATCCCGGACGTGAACATTAGATGTACTGGACATTCTGTCATCAAGAAAATATAGTTTTACTCTGGACTATTCCGAGTTACCAAAACGTTTGTGTGTGTGTCGGTGTGTGAGCTTTACAACCTGTCTTTGTTTTCTATCACTTGATTTGATTAATTTTTTTAAAAAAAACAAACTTTAGCTTTTTATTGCTTGACTTTCGTTTAATAAATTTTCATCTTCAATTTTTCAAGTTCACTTGTGTTAATTTAACCAAATATATTCTATTAAAATAATGATTCCATCTTCTTTGTTAACTTTAAATTGCTTGAAATATAGTGTAAAAATCCAGAATGAAAATAATGAATGTTAGAAATGAAATTATTAAGTGTCGGAAAAGCAAAGCAGAATTGCGGAAATCTAACGCAGTAAAAACTGGTAACCCCCACCCCCCCCCCCCCCTTACCCAAAGATACTAATACATGTTCACACTTCGATGCTCGAATGAACACTCTAATCGGCACAAATTTTAGAAATTAAAACGTTTATATATATGAAAGTTTAGTGACGCATACTAATCTTTTTTTTTTGATATATTTGATGACCTGTGAATAAAAAAAAGTCGGGTATGATTGTTGGATTACATTATAATAGGTTATGGATTAATCATGGATTTCAACACCAGTCCTGACCTGTACGTACCTGAACAAACTAACCAACTGACATTCTCGACTCTGAAGGAAAACGTATCATTTGAGGGAAGGGGTTATGTATCGCGATGAGAGGAAATTTAATTATCTCTTTTAGTCCAATAAACACGAAAGAATGGCTTGGAATATTTGTATGCAAATACGTGGCTTTCTCAGAAACAATTTTGAATTTGTTAAAAAAATTCTAATTATTCATTTTTTTCTCTCGTATTCTGAAAGCTCGGAATGTATATATTTTGGGGGCTCCTCCGTGTAAAACAGCATGCATTTAGTTACCATCATGTACACGTAAAATCGTGTCATAGTGATATTCTTTTTATTCGAGGAAATAAAAGGTATACATTCGGTACAATGCAATTATAAGTTATGTATCAATTCATGCAAAACTCAAAGTTGCTTCATTTACGATTTTCATGAGAATTGGAAACGTCACTTCCACTTACAATTTACTGTGCAATGTTTATATGTATTTGCTAATTTAAACAACATCGCAAATTTTTCTGATATAAAGCAATTAGAATAACTTGATATAGGCCCGTATACATGTAACGATTGCAATTACTTCACAGTGGAGGGGGAGACGGGGCCTAAAAAATCGTCGTACTACGTGTGTACCTTTTCAATAATAGAATCATCCGCACAAATCAAAAACAAGTTGCAGTATTGATATCCCCAATTTTTTTTTTTAAATAACGAGACTATAATGGACTTCACAAGGGTAGAGTTGAACATTAATTTATCATGTTTATGGTACATGTGCAATTAAAATCACGATCAAAATTGGCAGAGTTATCGATAGGTCATCCTGTGTCACCCTTCAGTGTAACCGATGAACTCGTCCATAGATACCTCAGCAGATGAGAAAAGCGCGCGTAAACGCAGCACCTTTTATTCATTCGTCAAAGAATAGAATCCGACATTCAACACTTTAAATCATATTCTAGAAAACCTTAAAATTTGTGTATAGAAATATTCTTACGATTAGCGCAAATGACATGTTTTCTTGATCTTAAATCTAGGACTCTAGTAAAAATCAAAGAGCGGTATTGTTGATCTCCGGAATGTATACAGGTCAATGCGCGATCGATAAACGGGTTTCATAACCATGTGACAACTGTACACACAAAACACGCACACTGTACACACGAAACTTTCGTGGTCCGAGGAAAATTCACGATGCATGAATTGAATTATCTTAAGCTTGAATTTAAAAAAAAATAAATATGGCTACATTGAATATTAATACTTAAAAATATTTTTCCTCTCTCCCGTCTTGTTCTTTACACTAAACACAGGGAGAAAGTTGTCTCTGAATAATCTGTTTGACATCCAGCTAGAGAATACGTTTAAAATCTTATTTCAACAAAGTTTAACATTCAATTTAGCTAGGTATATTATTCTTATCCAGTTAATTTCAGTTATACGTGTTACATGTATACACGTACGCATATAAAATTCTTCTTCACTTGCCGTATAAAATAACTTACCTGTACATGGACTATAAAGTTTTCTGCTCATCTAATAAAACATGACTTGAACAAAATAACGTTTTCATGAGATCAATAACTAAGATGCTAAAGAACCCATTTCAAAT